GGCAAATTATTCTTCCAAATGCACCATGATATTTGAATATAATGTGTCTACCCAATCGTGCTAGTGCAGAGGCGTAGCGAGGGGGGGGGGGGGGCGGGGGGGGGGACATATGTCCCCGGGCGTCGACCTTAGGGGGGGGGCGCCAAATTGAAAGTTTGAGGGGGGGTGCAAATGAAAAGTTCGATGGGGGGGTGCAAATCGAAACTTTGCTCCCGAGGGGGGCGCCAAATTGAAAGTATGTCCCCGGGCGCCGGGATGGGTCGCTACGCCTCTGTGCTAGTGTACTACACTATCTCTTCATATGCCGAAGTCACAGAAACAAGTGAACTCTACTTCACTTGCCCCATAGACCGTCAGGTTTGAAAGGGAAACTTACTACTTTTTACTACCCAATCGTGTGTATCTAAACAATACTGAGATAACTATAAGAAATTTAAGCACACACTACTAAACAGCAGCATAAAAAACTACATGTAACTATTACAATTAAATAGGATTCACTGTACGTACTATTGCGTAAATATTTCATCTGAATTGGGCATGTAATTAAATTCGTCTTTCAGTTGCATGCAAACATTATCATCGCAAAAAAAAAAAAAATAAAAAAAAATCAAAGAATTTTTTTAAAAAGTATAAAATTATAATTCATGTTTTTGTTGGTTTTTTTTTTCTTCACGTAAAAGCACGTTCATTTTTCTGCATAAAATGAATGTTTACTTTTCATAACCATATATTTGTATCAAAACTTCTTTATAAAATACATTATTATTTTATAATTAGCAAACAGTCTGAGCATGAGTAACAAAGAACAAAAACAAAATTCCGAAAATTCCCAATTATAAGTAAGAAACGGTGAAAGATTCAAAGGAGAAACTCTTTGAAAAGTTTAATAAAGCGCCTGTCCAAAGGGGGAGAATCCACGTGGAGGTGACAAATCACCGCGATGATCGAACCTGTCCGCGGACATCAAGGCTATTGTTGGTCAGAGAATCGCCCCTCGCTGGCAATCGGTTAGCAATAAACCAGCCATTTCCCCCCGGCTAGACCAGCATATGTCGGCCATTAATGTCACCCGCAGCAAGATAACTCCTTGTGGCAATCGCCGGAGAAATTGACTCGAGTTGTCGGCGCTGGGAATTTCCCGGGTGGACGCATGCGCAGTTGACACGTTCATAACCTTTGTTGTTTAGCCTTTGTTGTTCTCTTATTTTACACCTCCCCTCCCGTCGACACCCCTCCTCCCCCTCCCGTCGACACCCCTCCCCTATCCTCGAACATAACACGGATGAATATTTTATAATTCTACATGCGATGCTATAGACTTGTTAGGGTTTGGTATTTCTCCCAAGTATTCTAGATAACATGCAGAGTGCCCACTTTTTGTGAAATCAAAATACATTTATACTTATATTGGCAGTAAAACAAGACATCAAAGCACACGTGTAAATTATCATTTTAAAAAATGCAAACATGTTTCAAGCATACTAGCATAATATTTAGCACTATTATGGGAAGACCTTTTTTTACTTTCTCGTATATACGAAGTATAGAGAAAGTCTTGTAATCGTGCAAAAAAAAAAAAAATCGAGATTTTTACAAATCTCGACGTTTCACACCTCACTGATACGGAAAAACATAATTTTGCAATCTTGTCCGTATGTCTGTGTGTCTGTCTGTGTGTCTGTCTGTGTGTCTGTCTGTCCGTGTGTAAACACGATAACTTGAGTACCGTTACAGCTAGGTTGATGAAATTTCATATATAAGTATTTAATCAAAATCGTAGATCCGTATAAACTTTTGAGCGATTTTCGATAACCGGAAGTGGTACTTTTCCTACTTTGAATTTTTCAAAAGCCTATAACTTGAGTACTATTTCAGATAGATAAATGAAATTTCATACGTAAGTAAAAGATCTAATTCTCTACCTTCTATTAAATTTTGAGTCATTTCCGTTGACTGGAAGTGGTACTTTACGCTACTTCCGATTTCTCAAAAAACTAATGTAAATTTTAAAAGTAATAATAATATTGCGCACTATTATGCGCTTTTTTATTTGGCGTTCACTTGGTGTGCAATTAATTTGTCTACGAGATTTTATTCTATTTTTAAAACTTTAAGTATTTAAAATGGATTAAAAATCATGTCTATAGCCCGAGTTCCCATCCCCTGTTATTTTATATAAGAATATTCGAGAAAGTTTAGGGGAGATCACTTCCGGTTTATTTCCCCAAGATTTTGTTTTTCACGATTGACTGCTTTGTTTCTTATACATTCATTATGTTTATCAAAGCGTTAATATTATAAAACATAATCTACTAGTGCAAAATGTGTTTATCTATGATATAATACACATTCTTTGTGGTTTTTTTAGATTCAGATTTCGCATTATGTAGGCCTATTGAAAATCATTTAGCGATGGTGTTTCTCTAAAGAAAGTGTCGTATTTTTATGTGGAAGGAGTGCATTAAAAAGTTTCTCTGTAATATCTTTATTAAATAAA